GTAATCTCAGCATTCATTGTCTATTTCTTGTAAAATACTACCTAAAATAAACATCCTCTCAGTCCCCTCAGAGTACATGAGCTTACTGGTAATGAATAGTGAACCCAATTGTTTGTAGTATTTCACAAGTGTGCTGATGTTCAGGGACAGGGTGTAGGTTATTCCTGTCATGGTTACTTGGGAAAGTACTCTATTTTTCTGAGATAAGTTATAGAAGTCTTTAAGTGCCAATAAGTACTGAATTTGACCCCCCTACAAAGTTTATGCTTTTTATTTTTTCTCCATTATGAATTTAGCTTGTTTAGTAATGTAATCTTTTTTTCAATGCTCCTTGGATTCTGGACACAAAATTCCTAAATAATTACATAAGTTATCAAAACAAACTCCTACATTAGTTAACTAGTGGCTTCAAAAATGGGTGAGACACAAACACACAGGCGAACAATAAAGTACATACTAAAAATTTTGATGTGAAAGTGAATGCTAACGATGGAAAAGGGTCGGGGGTACGTACAGATTCACGTTAACTCAAGAATTCTAGAATACTTTGTTTTATAGTCTGGGAGGGTTTTTAGTAGGGGGATATTGGGCAATTCATTGGGTAGTGATTATTTTGGTATATTATTCCAGTAAGTCCAAATGATTCATAAGGGATTATTTGAATAAGTTGAAAATATTTAGGGAAAAACATTATTTGGTTGGACTCGCTCCTATTGAGGGGATCATGAAATAAGGCTCTGCAACGAGTAAGTAGCATTAACCTGTTTTATTTATTGTAAAGATGTTGCAACCTTTTCCAGCTTAAAAATAGAGTTGGGTTTTATTTTAATATGGTTACCATGGTGGGCATTTTGGAAAAATATCTGTTCGAAATCAGCAAAACTCACATCACCCGTAAATATATGATTCTAGAGTCAGTTATCATTTGGACTGCAAGCAGTTCCTCCTCAATTTTTTCTCCTCATCTCTCAGGTTTGACTAAGTAGAGCATTTACCACAGATTGTTTTTTAAGAAAAAATGGGCAAAAGCACTAAAGTGCTCTACATAACCAGGGATTTCATCAGAAGCCGGTAACCGGCGAACTCCGGCGGCTACTCTCCACAACGAAGCCGGCTACAATGGAAAACATTTAATATATCGGCTAAACTTCAGAATACCCCGCAACTTTGGTCCGCCTCACTTACATGTGTCGGGAGGCTTTGAAGATCGGTCAGCATTAGATTCCATCTACCAAAACCACCTCGGTCGAGAGGGACTGAGATGGAATATTTAATAACTTGCAAAACATAACCGAAGATTCTCGGAAATCCGCAAGTGATGTAGCCGAACATTCGAAGCTGTAAATCCCATGATTCTTGAGCAACAAACAGAAACAGCATAGCGAGAATTTTAAGTCGCGAACCATTGCTTGATGGTAGACATGCAGATAATTTAGGATACGTCAATTCTGTTGATGAGGCGCATAAACTTATTGCGGAATTTGAAACAAGATTGACGACGAAGTTTTCTTTCTCTAAAGCTGTCAAAGGTTTCGGGAACACCGGTGTTTATATATATATTGATGTAGCTCTTTGGCATTACAAAGCTTTGCTATCGCTATTGTGCATTCTCACTAGTTTATCTAGTTCAAGTCCTCTGGCATGGCTTGGATGATACCACAATTGTGGAATCATTCGGGTTAACTTAATGCTTACACCTCCTTCCTCGGACAGAAGTCACAAAATACTCGGGGAAGATGCACGAGATATTTAAGGAGCAAAAATTCGTTTTTTACTGGTGTGCCTTTCCTAATTTTGGGAAGGAAAGTGTTCAATTGCCAGCACGGCATAGATAGAACAGCTGGAGAGAAAAGGAAACGAAAATATGCAGAAGAAGTACTGTATATAATAATTTCTTTTTATCCTCAACCTTTGTGTTACTGTCAACTATGGCTTGCTAATTCGAAAGGTCAAATACATGAATGGGTCATATGACATTGATCTCAGAATACTTTTATGACCAACGTGATAACAGTTCAATCTTGGCTAAATTGAAGATGGTTAGAAGTTAACAATTATAAGAACTTTTCACTAACATATGCTGCTGACAAAGGAGAAAATATGCAATTCTGCATTTTTTGCTTTCTATCAAGCAATCATATATTGGCTCCTTATCACACTATGACACTTCCGTTTTGTCGTATTCCAAAAAATAACTTGAGAAATACACTGTCACTCGTCTTACACTGTTATATTTACCTATTACAGAAGGCTGGAAACAAATATTTTGTTTTCAAGAAAATAAGATATCTTGTCCAAGACACAAGGAAGTTTGACTGCAAAACACAGATAAAAATGCAAGAAATTTTATTTCTTTCAGAGAACAAGGTAGTTCTACTCATGTATAAACAGAACAAATCTGGTTTAATAAATCAGTTATGCGGCATGACTCCTTTTCTTCCATCCCCACTCAAAACAAGCAAACACACTTATAGACTGAGGTTCCAGTCTGGTCTGCAAATGAAAAGGAGGAAGGTGATCACTGCAAAATTAAGCATTAGGGTTCTTATTTATAACATATTGATTATTGTATACTGATATCAAGAAATTAAGGTTGCAAGTAGCAGCCAGCTGAGTTATAGTTTGAGTTTTATCAAGTCCATCACTTTGTTAAATTTAGAGTAACCTTGTCTTGAGAGAGGGAAATTGAGGAGCTGTAATATACTTATCATCAATTAGGGACCACAAAGAAAAATTTATTTATAGAGACTTTTGAAGGAGAGGAGTAAGACTTGTGACAAGCTGGCAGACATATACTAGATAAACTTTACTGCTAAATGGGTTACAATATAAAGTGCTCAGTATTTGGATCAGCTATGGCTCAACTTAAACTTTGCTTTAGCTTCAAGTTTAATCCTTTGTGGTTTCCTTTCTCTGTGTTTGTTTTTCAAGTTATGTTACACAAAAGAACACAAAAATGACAAGGAATGCTTTTGAATATTAAGAGGCTGGAATAAGCAAGAAACCAAAACTGAATTTTAAACAGTACAAAGTTAATTTGATCTTCCAATGTTATTTAATTTTAACCATTAATAGAATTTGCTATTTAAATTTATCCCCTCCATTTTTCTGGATATTGTGAGAAAAAACAAACAATAATCACAAAATGCATGGTATACAATGGTTTGATTCACCAATGTGGCAAAGGCCTTTCACTGTCTATCCATAAAAAGGGAAATAATTTGTAAAATTTAAGACATTCTGCATCTTGAGTGTATACTTATTCATCAATGTGAAATTAAAGGTTACTTGAAATAAATGTGAAAGATTTATAGGATTTTCAGACCCCTGATAACAATTTTTGATGTGCTGATTTGTTGTACTTAAAGGTTATGATTTTAGCAGAAATAGTGGAAGAAATTTCTGGACCTGGGATTTTGTTGCAAATGTCTGTTTAAGTCAGTTAAGAACCCTCCTGTTTCAAGATTACATGATTGCCACACCAGAACCTTTTGCATTCTATATTGTGCACCATGTTATGATTATGGTTTCAGTAATAAAAGGTGCTGACTCAAGAACTTTGCAAAATATCTCTACATACAAAGAAATAGATTGTGGTTATGTACTCCAAATAGCAGGTCACATCAGTCTTTTGTAAGGAAGTAGCAGAAATTGCTATGGTGGTTTTGGTGGATGGAGAGAAACATCTACCAAAACCACTTTATTCTATGTGTCATGAGTTATGATAATCATTAAGAACGTTTGGTCGGTCAGCAATTGTGCACCATAAAAAATAATTAGCCAGAGCACTAACTGCTAATTATTGGTATAAATCTTTTGTCTCCCTGAACATCTAACAGTGGCTATAGCTAAAATTAAAAAAAATATATTGTTGATGGTTTTGGTCAAAGTTTTGGTGGATGTTCCCTAATGACATCCACCAAAACTACGTAACATCTGGGCACCTTTTGAATACGTGAAATATCTGCATAAAATTGCGTAAAATGTTTTATAATACTACAATCGAACAATTAATTAATACTTACCATTTCGTGAGTAAAAATTTTTGACGCAATTTCCCAAGCAAATAATACACTTAGGTTATCGGGATAAGTCGGCATGTTGTCGTAGCTTCGTAATTTTCATTTAGTATAACAAGTCATGAGTTGTCCATCATTCCATCTCAGTCCCTCTCGACCAAGGTGGTTTTGGTGGATGGAATCTAATGCTGACCTTGAAGATCGAGGCATAACACAATAGACGCTATTCTTATTCAATGACATGTAAATGAGTTGCGGGGTATTCTGAAGTTGCTCCGATTTTTGTAACGACCTCTAATAATTCAATCAACACGCGTACGGATCAACCAAAGTGAAAAAAATATACCAATTGATTGGTCAAAGAAGTCAAACTTAAATGTGATGTTAATGCCTCCGTAACCTGACAATTTCTTCCATTAAAAATTACCTATAAATCATGACACTGTCTGCCATGTAGATTCCAAAGCAAAAGGTATACCAAACCTTTTGACAAAAGACATTCTGCTGTATGATACAAAAAGAGGTCCAACAAGAAGTAGAAAGATTTTTGAGTAACACAAAGGAGGTAGGAACAGATTACAGACATTATCCTCCCCGCAGATTTCCCTCAGTTTCCAATTTGTCAAAACTAGTCTTATGAATTGGGGATTTGGGGCTGTCTAAGAATTATTGCCGTGGCAGTGATTGACACAATTAACTTACCAGCTGAACTGCTATCTGAATCTCTCGAAGAAGCCATCAAGTTTGCCGAAGTGTGAGCCCAATTTATTACGTTACATCTCTAAATTGTACGTCCCTCCTTTCTTAAGAAATATCCCGATATGTAAGAGGCTATTTAAGAATGAATTTCCGATATTTTCAGAGGATATATCCCTTCGTAGTGTTCGAGAAGGAAATGGGCGGAAGTGCGCTATTAAACACCTGACATTGTAATCAGCAGCCTTACATTTTAGCGCATGCGTGAATGTAACATCCTGTAACGTAGCAACGGAGCAAAGGAAAACAGCTTTTCGATTGCGGTACGTTTAAACGCGAGACTTAGCAGTGCTTGGTTTGGACAGCAACATCCCTTTAAAGAGAGAAAATGAGTTCAAGAAAGGTTACAGCAGGTAAGTTATAAAACATAGAGTAAAATTCTAGCGTTGTAATGTCAAAACTAAGGATACATGCTTTGTCTTTAACCGTAGTGTTTGAGAACTATCAAAAACAAAGGACAACTTTCGTTGAGAGAGTCGCCGAACTCGCCAATCAGGCGGAGAACATCGAAACTCTGCAGAATGTTGGTAAGTTAAACATGCACTTCCCAGGACATTAGGTAGTCTGGTACACGAACATCCCTCTTTTTCTGATGGATCTCCTATCTTTAATTCCAACAAAGTAATCGACACAAGTAAGTCTGGTGTAATTCTTCGAAATTATAGATGACCCGAACCGTTTGTATGGCTATGCTTTTGAAGCAGAAGTAACGATAAAATTTACCAGCACTGTTATTGAACTAACATGTGACACGAACATATACCTTTGAAAATATGGCTATACACACAAACACGTAATAAAAGTTTGGTATGTGAGATTGTTAACTGGAAAAAAGACCAATGCATTTGCATGTCTACTGAATATAAAAGATACTGTAACAACGTAATTATACGGATAAGGAGTGACATTGTCGAATCATGAATCTTACTTTCTCAGCAAGGGACTCAATTTTCGAATAAACAAAGATCATGTTCAGTTCCTGGTGTCATTTGAATTCTGTAGCACCCTGATACTCAAAAGTTTTTTTGTAAGATCGTTCAACCACATTTTTGATGCATGACTTTTAATGCTCTGACTTTTAATCTAACTACGTATATTTTCTTTCATCACATTACGTCAACATGTACTAAAATGGACAGTCAGCTTTTTTTCACATTTTTCTTAATCACTTTTACAAAATGTATGTTTGTGAAGGTGCGATGGCTCTGTTAAGACCACTTCTCCTAGATGTTGCCCCCAACATTCAACAGACAGCAGCATTAGCCCTTGGTAGACTGGCAAATTACAATGAAGACCTTGCTGAGGCTGTTGTGAAAGGAGACATTCTACCACAGTTGGTGTATTCTCTGGCAGAGCAAAATGTAATTTTCTTTGTTTACATACATGGTCAGCCAAAATTTTTTCTGACAGTTGTAAAATAAAAGAGAAAAAGAGTCGCACACATATCTTTGGGCAAATGTTGTAGGTTTATTTAGTTTTTGTATAGGATCATTTTGCCATGTAATTATCAAATCCTGTATTGACTATTAGTTTCCTTCAGTCAGGATTGCAGGATATTTACTTAGCCTCATTCTTTCAAAGCATATTTATAGGCCCTAACTCTGTTGCAAGCCAACTTAAAATAAGACCTGGGTCAATATTTAGGGATCTTGACCTTACTCCTATGGTCAGTGACACACATATATATACCTATATATTTATAATTTGCATAATAGATAATCATCTTGCAACAACTAGATCTGCTAGTTCTTCTGCTATTGACTTGAAAACTTGTGGGATATGCTGCAGACATTCTCACTGATTATATAATTTGCAAATTAGAGAATGGCCATTCAGCAATTAGCTCTGCTAGTTCTTCTGCTGTTTGCTGGGGAACTTGTTAGACATGCTGAAGACATTCTAACTGATTATATAATTTGCACATTAGAGAATAGTCGAGCAGCAATTAGCTCTGCAAATTCTTCTGCTGTTAATTGGGGAACTTGTTGGACATGCTGAAGAGATTCTAAGTGATTATATGATTTACTCAAGAGAGAATTCATGTAGCAGCTAACTCTACCAGTTCTTCTGCAAGGCAAAATTTGCTGCAAGATGATTCTCTACTGTGCAAATCATATATATTTGTATATATTGTTTCAATGAAATGTGGAAAACTCGTCTAGTACATCCAAATTTCATGTTTTTTACTTCAACAATTTAAGAAATTTGTTTATGTTTTTGTCCACAGCGATTTTACAAGAAAGCTGCTGCATTTGTGCTGAGGGCTGTAGCTAAGCATTCTCCTCAGCTGGCACAGGTATGAAGGAAATCAAAATAGAGACATTTTTAAGCTATCACACAAAATGTGTGTACATACCAACTAGTGTACATGTATGTAGATTTCAGGTTATGTGCTAAATGTAGAACTTGCAAGGCTTAGTTACATTGTACATGTACACTGAACTAAAACAATACAGATGTATTTCACATGATCATTGTGATAATGTTGAGGTTAGGTGCAATTAGTCTTTGATAAGGAAATTTCATGTAGTGTGATAATTTGGATGAAATGTAAATTGAAAAAGATGGTGAATGTGCAGCTTTGTGTCCAAAATGATTCGAGGATCTGACTGCCTCTTACAGGCCGTGGTAGACTGTGGTGCTCTGGAGGCTCTTGTCATCTGCTTGGAGGAGTTTGACCCAGGGGTCAAAGAAGCAGCAGCGTGGGCCCTTGGATATATTGCAAGACACAATGCAGGTAAGTAAGCAGCAATGAAATACTATCAGTTTCCATGTAACAGTTTCTTCCTTTCAATTCTGATCACAAGTTCTTTGATTTTAATACCAACACTTAAGTCTCTAACATTTTTTTTTCAGAGCTCTCCCAGGCAGTTGTTGATGCAGGAGCTGTCCCTCTGCTAGTCCTCTGCATTCAAGAACCTGAAATGCCTCTCAAGAGAATCGCTGCATCAGCATTGAGTGACATTTGTAAACATTCGCCAGAGGTGAGCAGTACACTGTGGGCATGACCACTGATTTCTCAACAAAATAGCAGTGCTCAATTAAAAGTATTTTGTTAAACCTTGTTTGGGTTTTCCTTTAAGCGGGAGCTGTAGTGTTTACCCTTTACACCCTAACATCAGTCGACATATTCTCCATGCTGTTCTCAATACATTTCCAAAGGTGCTGACAAGGAGAATTTGTTTAACAATCAAGAGCTTCTATTGTTGATCATTTCCTTTTTTCTCTTGACCTCTATGTGTGATTTTGGGGGTGATATTGTAAGGAGAAATTCAATGCTAATCACTTGGAGGGGTTAAAGGGTTAATCTATATAAAAGCCAATTTACTCTTTTCCATAGTTGGCCCAAACAGTGGTAGATGCAGGAGCCATTGCTCACCTTGCGCAGATGATTCTTAATCCTGATTCAAAACTTAAGGTAAGTCTTGGTGATGACGGATAAAAGTTTCACTGTTTGTTCAACTCTTTGCATAATTCTAATGATGCTTTTAACACAAATGTAATCAAAGAAGAAAATAGTTTTATTAGATTTTTTAACCTGATTCTGAAGGTGGACTGTAACTAATCTTTGACCATTAATATTAGCACCTGTGGTCAATTTTTGCAACTGCCTAGTACCTTAACACCTCACTTTGTTAATATGTGATACATTTTTAATGTACTGTAAGTTTTAATTAATTCTTTTTCAAAGTGGAATATAATAGGTTGATATCTATTTTACTTTCTACAGCGTCACATATTCTCTGCATTAAGCCAAATTGCCAAACACTCTGTTGACCTGGCTGAGATGGTTGTTGAGGCCGAGATATTTCCAGCTGTTTTAGCCTGCCTTAAAGGTGAAGCCCATTTGAATTCTGACTTCCTGAGCAATTTTCTGATCAGCCTTAATTAATCTACAGTTAAGCTATTAAAAATAATCCTCTGGATACAATTTTCTTGATAGCTTTAAAACTATTAAATTGTCAAATGCCATTGAATGGAAAAGTTTATTTATCTGCAACATTGCTGTCAAAGGAAAAAGGATTTTTAAGCCATTAAGTAGGAGGGTTATCTACATTTGACTTAGCAATTAGTTCCATGCCCACTGTAGCTGACATGTAAATTTATATAGCTGTATTTATCATGCTATTTAGTAAACTGAATAATAATTTATCACTGGTTGTCATGGATTTGATCTTTTTCACTTTTATTTTCTCTTGAGGGCTATATTTTCACTCTCTTTAAACCTGAGAGTGATCCAGTGTAAACTTTTGGATCACTACCATTTGATTTTAAGGTTTTCATGATACTAATAATTGTCTTTGTTTCTGTATGTTTTAGATGAAGATGAGTATGTGAAAAAGAATGTGGCAACATTAATAAGAGAAATTGCTAAGCACACTCCAGAGGTATGATAAATCATAAATCAAGTTACTTCATTTGTTTAGTTGATATATTATCAAACACCAGCACTTAAAATCTGGCTGGAGTAACTGGTTTTGAACTGTTTTTAAATCATGTTGTTCCTTATTTTCTCAGCTTGCCCAGTTGATAACAAATGCCGGAGGAGTTGGAGCTGTGGTTGATTTCATTAAAGAATCAAGGGGAAATGTGCGACTACCTGGAATCATGATGTTAGGATATGTTGCTGCCCACTCAGAAACACTTGCAATGTCTGTTATTGTTTCAAAGGTACATGTCAAGTTAGTTTACATAATAAGTATTTTAATAATTTTAGTGTCTGATAAATTCAAATTATGTTACTGGTCCTAATAATGGATGATAAAGTGATGATGATTATAAGCAGATGGCTTTCCTCGCAAATTACTTTTCAAAACCTCACTAATTCTTTGTAGATAAATCAATCAAATCCTGTGCAGGGCTGGAGAGCACTGCTTGATAAAGAAATTGTCCTTGGCTATCCCCAAACAACTGGAGCTTGTAGAATTAAGTTGAAATAGTTTTGTAATTGTTCTTGTTGCAGGGAGTGACTGTGTTAGCTGGCATTCTCTCTAGAAGTGAGCATAATCACATCATGCAGCAGGTATTTTGAGCTTCATGTATTATAAATGTGGTACTGATTGATACTTACAAATTCCTAATGTATTTTTCTACAATGGAAAAGAGATTAAGAGAGGTGTGTTTCTAATCCAGAAAAAAAATTTATGTGAACTATAAACTGCTTGATTTCTAATGTTTTCCTGTTTACACCTGGTGAAAATGTCAGATTTAAGAAACATACAGTCAAATCAACCCTTCACACCCAAACTTCATGATCAGTATGCATATTCTTCATACTGCTCTCTCTACATTTGCTAAGGTGCAGATACAGAGAATTTGTTTCACAATCAAGAACTTTTCTAGTTGGTGATCATTTCCAATTATTCTCATGACCTTAATATTTGATTTAGGGGTGATAGTGTAAGGAGAAATTAGATGCTAATCATTCGTAGGGGTTAAAGGGGTAATCAGCTGATAGACCCTGCTGTGGTTGACGCTATCGTACAGCGTACATGTGTGGTTATGAAGTCTCTTTCTCTTACAAATGTAGCGATCCACCGAACTAGGAAGGAATGAAGAAGATCACATACAGGTAAGGGATGTTTTAAAAAGTTTTCTAGTGAGTTTTTGAAGTGTAAAAGGAAAGTATTTTAGGTTTAATTATATTTCACAACTCTCGTACCTTTCTCATACCTGCCTTGCTTGGGAACACAACACATGGCCACAATACCTAGCCAGAACTCCTCGATCATTAATCTACTTTATCTCACACATATTGTTTCCCCCAGAAACTTGACCATTTTTGCTGAATGAACAAAGTTTCTTCAATCCAAACCCCTTAATTTCGTTTCACAATAGGCTGCTACAGCATGGGCCCTGGGTCAGATTGGAAGACATACACCAGAACACGCTAAGGCAGTGGCAGTCACTAATGTCTTGAAGTCCCTGTTGGATTGTTACCAGGACTCTTCTTAGCTCAGAGGACCTTGCAAGCTAAGGTAAGGATCTGCAGTGGCTAGCATTGTGAAGGAGCTTCCTTATTCAGGCGCTGTTAGGAAGCGATATTTATGGCGTTCCTGTTCGGTCTCG